TCAGGGAGCCTGATTTGGGACTCCATCCCAGCATCTTGAGTCAAAGGTAGATGGTCAACCACTGCGCCACCCAGGTGCTGCAAGATTTTATTTGTTTGAGAGAGAGAGAAAGAGAGACGCGGAGCATGCAAAGCACAGGGAGGAGCAACTGCAGAAGGAGAAGCAGGCTCCCCACTGAGCCCCGGCGCCCATCGGGCGGGCAGGCCTGCGGGGGCGGGGCCGTCGGGGCGTCGTCACGTGCCCGGAACCGCATCACGTGCTGCAGGCGCCCTGACAGCGTCACGCTCGCCGTCGCGTGGGCTCGCGGCGCCGCGTCTGCCGCGTCAGGGGGCACCGCCGGGCCTCATGGCCGCCGCGCTCCCCAGCCGCAGCGCTGGGCCTGCAGCCTCTGGGCCCTGGAGCCTGAGCCGCCGTCTGCTGCTGCTGCTGCTGCTGCTGCACTCGGGTGAGGCGGCGCCTCCTCAGCCGCCGCGTGTCCGTCGTGGGTCGCCGCGTGTCCGCCATGTTCCCTTCCCCCGCCCCCATGCGGTCCCCTCTGCCCCCTAACGCCGCCCCGCCGCCCTGCCCCGGCACTTGACCCCTGACCTCCGGGCCTGGAGCTCTTTAGTGGCCTGGGACTCTAAACACCCACCCCCCACACCGGGTCACCTGCCCTCCGCGGCCACCCCCTAGGATGGTGTCAGACCCCTGCCCAACGGGCCTCCTCCCTCAGGTGCACCCCTGCATCCACTGCGTCCTCCCGGGCCCACGCGGCCGTCGCGGCTGAGACCCGAGCCGCCCTCCGAGGCCTGCTCCGGCCTCCCGCCCGCGCATGCGCTGCAGGCCAGCCAGCCCCGGCCGCACGCGGCCTCCCTGCGCTGACCCCATCCCGCCTTCCCTCTTCTCGCCCCGCCCCCCCTCCCCCACCCCGCCCCGCCCCGCTCCGCCCGCAGCTGCTTCATTCACCGCGAAGACGAAGACGCGGGCCCTCAGGGCTGCCCCCCTTGACAGCTCCAGCCCAAGAGGCCCCTGAACCCCGCCGACGCTGTCCTCCCCCCAGCGACCCGGTCTCTGCAGCAGTCAGAGCCCTCCCTCCTGTTGGAGGTCGGCGCTGGCCCGCCTCCCTGCTGTGGGCTGCAGGCCCTGCGTGCGCCCTGCTCCCCCAGCCACGTTGCCGCCCGTCTCCGTCCTCTCCCCGTTTGCAGGTTCCTTCTCCCGGTCAGGCGTCCTTCCAGGCCTCCCCACTTCGCCCTTAATCCTTAGCCCACTCCTGCCCTGTCTCTGGCCTTGCTGTTCCGGACTTTCTCCCACTCCCTCCGTTTTCATTGTTTTCCAGCCCCCTGGCTTCTCAGGCCGCGCCTCCTGATTCTCCTCTGCTTAGGATAACCCCCTCGCTCCCGTGGGCTTCCCAGGCCACCCTCGCCCTGCTCAGCGCTGTTCCCTGCAGGGCTGTCTGGGTTCCCTCTTCACCCCCCCCCCCCCCGGGGCAGTGAGCTGCTGTTCCTGTGATACTGCCTCACAGAACAAGCATCTGCGAGTGCAGCCGTCTGCTGCGTGACCTGGAAACACGTTTGCTTCTTGAGGTCCAAGGCCGAGGCCTCATCTTCCTATAAACTGGGTGCTCTTACTCTGTCCTTGAGTAGGTGGATAGTAGGCACCCTTCTCTAACACCAGGAACTGGGGGTCATCCCAGACGTAGCCACGCCTGGAGCCTGGATCCCGCATCCAGCTCCCCGTGTCTGTTCTCCCTGCCGCTTCTTCATTTAGACCACCTCTTTTCTTGCGTGGGTCCCGTGGAGACTCTGGTGAGCCCTCACTGCCTCCAGACTTGTCACCTTCCTCCTCACGCTTCAAAATTCAAGCCTGACTCTGTTACCCTTCCACTGGCCTCCCTCCTCCTCCCAGAGGCTCCCTTTGCTTCTGGGCGTCACTCCTGAGGCCCCTGGTGATTGACCCCTGGCTTTTCCTCCACGGTATCCTTTCTTGCCATCATCAGCCTTGTCCGTTATTCTCTGGAGGCTCTGGCATACACCATGGTGTTTCTTTCTTTTACAACGAATGTCATTGTCACTTTTCTGTTTTTACCTTCTTTTCATCTTTAACACCTGGCACAATAGCCCTACTTCCACAGAAACCTCCTTGTCCCCCACTTCTTCCGGGCTCCCCTGAAACCTGTGGCCTTGTCCCTGCACTGACCTCACATAGTGGTTGTGTGTTTACTTCTGTCTATCCTGCCGGACAGCATGGTATCTATTTGATACACTCTGTCGTGTCGTCCCCCCCCCCCCCCCGCCCTCGTTGGGCTCCAGGCTGGGAATAGAGTGGGAGATTCAGGAATATTTGGCGAATGGACAAATTAACTAATTCATGATCTCTTGCTTCCTCTCTGTTCCCCTTTTCTTCTCCAGGTTATAAAGAAAACACTTCCACACCAGGTGGGTAGGGTGAGCTACTGCTTCAGAAAAACTTCAGCTCCTTGGAGGCTGTGTTCTGAAAAGGGTCACATAGGTAGTGTTTCTGGGTGTTTAGGAAGCAGAATTTAGTCTCATGGGTCCGCTTTCTTTCTTTCTTCCTTTTTTCAAGATTTTATTTATTTGACAGAGGGAGTGAGAGAGCACAAGTAGGGGCAGCAGTAGAGGGAGGGGGAGAAGCAGGCTCCCCCGTTGAGTGGGGAGCTCAATGCGGGGTTCCATCCCAGGGCCCTTGGATGATGACCTGAGCCGAAGGCAGACACTTAACTGACTGAGCCACCTCTGCTCTCTAAAGGGCCTTTATCCTTAGACATCAGGGATGGTGGGTGAGGTTGCTCGCTTGTTTGTGAGCTTACATAGTCATAGGTCCTCCCTGATTGGTTGTGAATTGTTTGATTCATTACGTTAGTTGTTCCTGCTTATGTCCAAGTCTCACTGCTATTCCCCCTCTTCCCCTCCTCTCAACCTTTCTTATATGTTCAGTGAGCATCTCTGCTTGTGTGTGTTCTTGTCAAAATATATACTGTGGTTTTGTGTGCATGTGTTTTTAACTTACATAAATGATGGATACTCTAGGTCTCTTTCTGTTTCCTTCTCTTTTCACCGGTTTTATTAAACATTTTTTTTTACTTGGAAATAATTTTAAACTTACAAAACACTGCAAAAATACAGATAGGTCAAGGAAAACATACATCATTTTTTCAGAATCAGTTGAAGGTAACATATAGCTTGACTCCTTATCCCTAAATACCTAGGCATGTTTTTTTCTAAGACTATCCCCTTAGATAACCATAGTATCAACTGATCAACTTCACTTATCAACCACTTCTCGACCTCAAAAATGTACATTGATACTGTGCTTTTTTATCTACTGCCCATAATCAAATTTGGTCAGCTCTTTGCATTCCTACCAGCCATTCATAAGGGTGTATATATTGCTACAGACCTACCAACTATAGCACGATGCAGCTTTTATATCTTTTTGCCAATCTAATAGATTAAAAATGGTTTCTTGGTTTGACATTTTTCTCATTACTAATGGGTTTCAGCATGTCTCAACGTGCTTTTGGCCTCTTGACTTTCTTCTAATAAATTGCCCGTCCTTCTCCTTTGTATATTATCTGTTGTTCTTTTTTTCTTGTTGATTTCCTAGAGTTCCTTGTATATTCCTAATACAAGTCCTATATTGATTTTATTTTCTTTTTTTTTTAAGATTTTATTTATTTATTCAGAGAGACACAGAGAGAGAAGCACAGACATAGGTAGAGGGAGAAGCAGGCTCCCCGTGGGGAGCCTGATGCAGGACTTGATCCCATGACCCCGGGATCACAAGCTGAGCCAAAGGCGGATGGTCAACCACTGATCCACCCTGTATTGATTTTCAATATTGCAAATATTGCCTTCTAATCTGTCTTCTGCCAGTTAATTTTGTTCCCAGGATTTAAAAAAAATCCTTGATTTTGATAATAATCGGATTAATCTGTTTGATGCTTTATGGTTTGTATTTTGAGATTTTGTTTAAGGAGCCCTTTGCCACCCCATGTCATATGGTCTACTGTTAACTTTAGAGTTTCACTTTCCTATTTAGGTCTCCAAGTGCTTCTAGGGAGGAATCCAGTTTTGGTTTTCTTATTTCTTCTTTAGTGAGTCAGTTTTCCCAGCACCATCTATTCAACATCCATCCTTCACCCACTGATGGTAGTGGCTCCTTTATTTACATTAAGTTCCTGTGTTCCCAGAACAAACTCAAGCTCTCTATTCTTTTCCATTGCTCCATTTGTCTGTCCTTGTCAATACCACACTGTTTTTGTTGTTACTGTTTTGATGTGTATCTTGATACCTACTAGGACAAGTGTCCTTTCATGTTCTGCTTTTTCAGAGACTGAACTAGTCATGGACCTTTTTTTTTTTTTTCTATTTCAGTTTTAGAATAAGTTTATAAAGCTTCCTAAAATCCTAATTTGGAACATGACTTTATAGATTAATTTGGGGGAAAAGTACATCTGAAATGTTTAGTTTAAAAGCAAGGGGTGTCTCTGTTGGTCATTTTCCAGGTTCTTTATTAGAGGTTTTTGGTTTTTTTCTTTATTAGAGTTTTATATGTATCACCACAGAAATCTAGCATAGTGTTAGATAAGTTAATTCCTTGGTATTTATGATTTTTTTGTTATTGAAAATATATCTTATTTTGAATATAGTTTCTAGCTGATTGTGCTGGAGTAGAGAAGTGTTATTGATTTAAACAGTAAGTTTTTGAAGTACTATATATACACACAAAAGTACACAAACTTTAAGTGTCCAGATCAAGAAATTGTCTCACAGTGAACCCACCTGTATAGTCACTGCCTTAGTCAGAAAGTAGAGTAACACCAGCCCCCAAAAGCTCCCTTACGATCTCTCTTACTTTCGCTGCTCTTCTCCCACAAAAGTACCATTATTCTTGGCTTCTGACCATATAGAATCTTTTTGCCTGTTCCTTAATGTTATGTGGTGTTTGCTGTAGGTTTGTGGTCTCTAATTTTTATAAAGTTAAGGATTTCCTTTCTGTTCCAAACTAAGAGATATTTTTTTTGTTTCTAGTTTGTTTTTTTTAGTCATAAATACATGTTGAATTTTTCAAATGTCTTTTTTCTGTGTCTGTTGAGAAAAGCATATGATCTTTTCCTTTAGCGAAAAAGAACTGTTTATGTGGCAGATACACTGAGGGCTTTTCCATTGTGGGACCACCTTGGCCCCCCTGGGACAATCTCCACATGATTGTGGTGCATTATTTTTTCAAAATATAATGTTGAGTAATATTTTATTTAGAAATTTTTGCATCTGTGTTCATTCACACAGTTGTACAACTTGACTGCTTCAGAAGTACATGCAGGTGGAGACTGGAAACTGGGGTGGCGGGGCCTCCGTGGGCTCCATGCTGGGGTTCTTTCTTGAATGGCCTGTGTAAAGATTTCTGACACATGAGTCTGGAACTCTCCTCAGTTTTGAGTAGTGTGGGGACAGACCTTTTGCATGTACAAGATGCAGCAAGTTTTATGGCCTTTCAGGAACATGGCCTCGGGACTTAGGCCAGACACCAGAGAATGCATTGCTTGTCCTAGGGCTCCTTCTCTGCTCTCTTGTTTTGGGGTTCCCTGCTAATCACTCCCTGTCATCTCAGTATCTCGCTCTCTCTACCCTGTAATGTCTCTGTGTCTCTATCTTGAAGCCTTGTATCTCTGTCGTCAGTTGTCCAGCCCTGCGCCTCTGGGCAGGCCTCTGCTCTCCCTTCTCTGGCTCTGTCTCCCCATCTTTGAAATGTGGACAAGCCCCCGAGTTTACAGCTTTGTGTGCATTGTCTCAGGCTGGGGGGGACATCTTGGTCTCAGTTGTTCTCATCCTCCAATGTGTGGTCACCGTGTCCCCCTGGACATTGTTCTTGAAGTTTGCGGCAAACCCTGGTGGTCAGGGGATTTGGACGTGATCCGCCATTGGCCCTGGGAGGTGAGCCTCCGGCTGGAAAATGAGCACGTATGTGGAGGGGCCCTCATTGACCTCAACTGGGTAGTGACTGCTGCCCACTGCATCCAAGGGTGAGTATGGCCCCCGTGTCCATGGCCTGGAGACCTATCCCCCACATTTCTTCTGTGAAACAGTGTGGAAGTCGGGAGGTGAAGGGGAGTAGGAAGGGATATCCAGAATGGGGAAGAGGCCAGCTCAGGGTCTCACAGGAGACCCAAGCAGCAAATACTGTGCTTGAGCAAGGCAACAGGAAAACCCCCCCTTTCCCCCGCCACCATCCCTCACGCACACGAGGATGTACACGTATATCAGCACCTGCCCACTTGCATACACCACATGCAGATGAGGCCACCTCAAATCAATGTGAACAGGGAATGAGGGGGCAGTGGTCATGTCCCTGGCCCTGAGGGCCTCCAGGCTGGATGAACAAGGTGAAGCAAACAGAGCAAACCAGGCAGGGCTTCTGCTAAGCGGGAGGTTCTTCAGTGGTGGCGATGGGAGCGCGGTGTGGCCTGGGAACCTGACACCTACTACCTGGGGCCATGTGTCTCCTGCAGCACCAAAGAGTACTCAGTGATTCTTGGTACCAACAAGCTGAAGCCCGCAGACTCCCTGAGGGTCACCATGATCCCTGTGAAGGACATCGTTATGCACCCCAAGTTCTGGGGCCGGACCTTCATCATGGGGGATGTTGCCCTTCTGCAGCTCCACAGGCCTGTGGCACTCAGCAAGTACGTGCAGCCCATCTGCCTCCCAGAGCCCAGCTACAATCTGAAGGTTGGGACACAGTGCTGGGTGACTGGCTGGGGCCAGGCTAAACAGCGCTTCTCAGGTGAGCAAGATGGGCGGGGGTGGGGTGTGGAACCACAGAAGGGGTACTGCTGCACTTTTGGGGGCCTTGCCTGCCAGAGCCCTCCAAGGTGCCTCTCGGGAGGCTCATGACCATTACCTCTGGGCCCTGGTTCTTGGGATGCGCTAGAACTCTCCTCATGTGGAAACTGTTTTCATGGTTGACACCACTGTGCTTCTTGTGGCCACCTCAATCCGGTCTAGCAGTGCCTGGGCTAGGCATGATCTTCTGCCTCTTACAGAAGCTCAGAGTCAGGGAATCATAAATTGACTTGCCCACTCGTTCATTGACTTGATGAGCGTGGAGTGTCTGCCCCATACCAAACCCTTTGAGTTGGGAACACGGGCCTCACCTTCAGGGCACTTCATACCTGCATGGGGGTGGGGGCCCAGGCTGACAAGGGAAGAGGCAGAGGCTTTTTCGGGTGATCTCGAGATCAAGCTGGAAGGGGTCTGTGATGAGCTGTGGCCATGGGATCTATCAGAGATGCCTGAAGGAGGAGCAAGTGTTAACTGGGTGACTGAGGGCACGACTGGTGCAAAGCTCAGAGGCTGGAGAGAAGCAGGACATGGTCATAAGTGGTTTGTAAGTGGTTGCACTGAGACTTGGGTTGTGGCCTGCAGGGTGCAGAAGCCAAAGCTTCCCAGAGAAAGGGATCCTAGAAGAGAGCCTTAGAGGGTGAGGGGCTCGTGGGACAGCACAGGGGGCCAGACAGGTGAAGGGCCCCTGGGGGTGCGAAGGGGTGTGGGTTGGCTGAGTCTCAGAAATGAAGGTGACAGGGCCGTGGGAAGAGGCCAGGGCTGAGTGCAGTGGAGAGTCCTTTCTCACCCCACCGGGCTCCTCCACAGTTAACTCCACACTGACCCCAGAGCTGCAGGAGGCTGAGGTGTTTATCATGGACAATAAGAGGTGTGACCAGATTTACCGCAAGAAGTCCTTCATCCCCCACATTGTCCCCCTTGTCCTGGGGGACATGATCTGTGCCACCAATTACGGAGAAAACTTGTGCTCGGTGAGTTTCTGGGAGGTTCTGGCAGTTCTTCTGTTGGGAGTGACCCCCAGGGCGGAGTGGGGTTTGCCAGGCTTCCCTCTTTGTCACCATTACCAGGCAGTGCTCTGCTCCCCTCTTCCTTCCCCTGTGACTTCGATCTTGCCTGATATTCTGGAATGGGTCTATAACTGAGGGGTGAAGGATGCAGTGAGATCCTCAAGGAGTGAAAGAATCCTCCGAACAGAAGTCAGAGGGTGGGCATTCTGGGTCCTCGGGGGTCCTGGGTCCCAGTAGGGCCCAGAACTCCCATTCTCCTCTTCTCTTTACCTAGGGGGATTCTGGGGGCCCATTGGCTTGTGAAGTCGAGGGCAGATGGATTCTGGCTGGGGTGTTGTCCTGGGAAAAGGCCTGTGCCAAAGCAGAGAATCCAGGTGTATATGCCCGCATCACCAAATACAGCAAGTGGATCAAGCAGCAAATGAACAATGGGCCTCTCTCATGCCTCCAAACCTCTACCTGGCTCCTACTCCTGTTCTGGCTGCTGCAGCCCCAGATGGGTCCCTGATCTCCCCTCTCTCCTCTTCTTCCTGCTTTGCCTCTGCTGTGTGGGTTCAGATCAAGGTTAGATCAAGGTCATGTGTCTGTATTCAATAGGAGTCAAGGTGGGGAAAGAGTGGCCCCTGGGAGATGGGGCCCTGCTTTTGCATCTCAGTGGGGAGGGATGTGGGGGATGACTGGGCCGTGGGTGACCAGGAGAAAGGAAGTGTGGCCTAGAAGGGCTCTGGATTGGGGACCAGGATAGCCGGGATTAAATTTGTGCATATGTGAGCTGGCTTTGTTTTCTTTTCTGATTGACCCTGCGGGGGTTGGGGGTGGGTGGGAAGGCAGGGCCTCCTGGAATTAATTCTGCTGGCAGGCTCCCCACAGTGGAGGCTGATGGTTTTTGCTGTGTCACTGGTGTGGGGACATAGGGAAAGGGCCAGGGCTGAGGCCTCTGTTTCCTTATCTGTAAAGGGGGCCTGCTATAAGGGAGCTGCTAAAATATGCCTTGTAGCCTGACAGTAGGAAGGACCCACCTAAAGTGCTCCAAACTTAGCTTGCTTTCTTGTTTGTTTTTTTTAATGACACTAAAACCTGCTTGCAAAAGTATTACCTGTTCATCATCTATGTCTTTTCTTTTAAAATTAAAAAAAAAATTATAGGCAATATGGGAATACATCCTTGGTGTGATTTACTGAAAATATTCAGAAATACATGTAAAGGTTTCCCCCCTTCCCACCTGACCACCAGTGCTGCTCCCTTCCCCAGGAGTAATCTCTTGGCATCCTTAAATAAAATGTCTTTATGATTTTTTTTAAATAAATGGGATCTTAGATGTATTGTTAATAATCCACATTAAAAAAATTACATACCTTGACACACTTTCTACGTCAATACCTAGCGCTATTCATTATTTTCCATCACTGCATGGGTTCCGTGCAGCTGCAACATAGGTAATGTAACCAGCACCAGGTTTTAGGCTGTTTCTGACTCTTCAGCCTGAGACAGTGCTGCCATGAATGCCAGTCCTGTATATATGTGTGTGTGTGTGTGTGTGTGTGTGTGTGTGTGTGTGTGTGGTGGGGTGGGGTGGGGTGGGGCTGGGGGAAGGACATGTCTTTCTAGGAGTGGCCTGAGGTCAGGGCAGTCATCAACACACAAATTTAATAATTTTGGATGAATAGTATTCCTCCCAAATGCTAAGCCACTTTACGTTCATACCTACAGTATAGGAAAGTGTTTCCCCTTTTGCTAAAAATGGATATTATTAATCTTTTAAAATGTGCCCATTTAATGATAGAAAGTTATATCATTGTTATCTTAATTTGCATTTTCTTTTTATTTTTATTTTTTTTAATTTTTATTTATTTATGATAGTCACAGAGAGAGAGAGGCAGAGACACAGGCAGAGGGAGAAGCAGGCTCCATGCACCGGGAGCCCGACGTGGGATTCGATCCCGGGTCTCCAGGATCGCGCCCTGGGCCAAAGGCAGGCGCCAAACTGCTGCGCCACCCAGGGATCCCAATTTGCATTTTCTTGATTGGAAAAGTATCTTTCTATGTGTCCTAGTAAATCCTCTTTATGTACTTTTCCTATTTTTTTTAAAGATTTTATTTATTTATTCATGAGAGACACAGAGAGAGAGGCAGAGACACAGGCAGTGGGAGAAGCAGGCTCCAATGCAGGGAGCCCGACGTGGGACTCGATCCCAAGTCTCCAGGATCAGGCCCTGGGCCGAAGGCAGTGCTAAACCACTGAGCCACCCAGGGCTGTCCACCTTTGCCTATTTTTAGGATTGGGTTGCCTTTGTTTTTCTTATGGAAGGTTTTATCTTTTCTGAATACTAAGTTTTTGTCAATGATTTTACAAATATTTCCGTATCTTTTGGAAATATAGGGAATGGATGGAATTATGGAGTATTGCCATAAAGACCTTTAAAATTATCATGGAGTCAGATAGTCTTTACTTTCTTTATGGGTTTTGTGCCTAGCTGAGGATGGTCTTCTCCATCTCCAGATTTTTAAGGTATCTTCCCGTTTTTCTTTTTATTTTGATAAATATTTTTTTATGTGTGACTGTAATCCATTTGAAATTTCTGTTCATATGTGGTGTGAGGTGTGGGGATCCAATTCTGTTTCCAACTAGAGAGCCAATTACATGGATACTATTTCTTATGGAGACTATTTTTTCCTGCTGATCTGAATATCTACATTTATAATAAAGAAATCTTAATATATTCATTTTATGTTTACAAAACCTCTGTTATTGTTCCCGTTGATTTGTTTGTTCCTGAGTTAGTATTATACTGTTTCAAACAGCTTTATGTTATGTTTTGTTAAATGGTAGTAAAAGCTAAGCTCTCCTTTAAAAAAAAAGATATTCCCAGGATCTGTGGGTGGCTCAGTTAGGTGTCTCCCTTGGGCTCAGGTCATGATCCCACAGTCCTGGGATTGAGTCCTGCTTCTTCCTCTGCCTGCTTCTCCCTCTGTCTGCCGCTCCCCCTGCTTGTGTTCTCTCTCTAACAAAATCTTTAAAAAAGAAAAAGATACTGACTAATCTACAGAGTTTGTCTTCCATGTAAACTTTACAAGCAGTTTGTCAGTTTCTATTAAAGATACTCTTGGTATTGGAGTTGAAGTTAGATGTGCAGACTAATTTTACAACGTTGAATTCCTAACCAGGGTTATGGTATATGGCTCTTCTGTTCATGGATGTCTGGAAAAATATTGAGTTTATTTCTAAGTATTTGATAAATTTGGGTTACATTTATTGTGGATGATATCTCTTCCCATTAAATTTTTTTCCTGATTTTGCATATTAGGTATTTTAAAGCTGCTGATTTAAAAAAAATAGTGATCTTGTTTCCTGGTCATCTTGCAAAACTGATTTATTTAATTCGGCAGTTTCTCAGTTGATTCTTTTGGGTTATTTTTGGCTAATCAAATACCCTAAAATGGTGAGAGCTATGTCTTGTCCTTTTTTGAAAATCCTACCATTTATTTCTTTTGTTATCTCATTGCCCATGACTTCTAACACAGTGTGAAATAGTGGCGATACTGGTGGGGTCCATGTGCTGACTTTGACCTCAGCCTTCCTATGTTTCACAGATATTTCCTGGGAGTCTTTGCTGTGCCTGGCATGGTCTTGGGTCCTAGTGACACAGTAATGGATTATTAAGATGATTATATGGGTTTTCTTACTTAATTTGTTCACATAGTGAGATTCATTACTAGATCTCAATAGATTTCTTAGATAAATCCCTTAATACACTGTGGATTCCATTTGTTGGCATTTGGTTGAAAATTTCTGCCCCAAAGTTGGATTGGTCTTCACTTTTCCTTTCTATTCCACTATTTGTTCAAATTTGGTGTCTTTGCTGTGTTAGCCTCTTAAAACATGTTGAGAAGCTTTTAGTATTTTTCCATGCCCTAGAGCAGTGTATATAATGCCAGCATGATCTGTTCCTGAGGTTTGGTAGATAGTGCACGTAAAACTCACTGGACCTGATAGCTTTCTTAAGGAACAGACAAATCTTTGACTACTTAAAAAATATCTTGTATAGTTACTGGCCTAGTTGGGTTTCCCACTTCTTTTTGCTTTAATTTTAATATAGAAAAATCATTAACTTTAACCTAGAATCTTACATTTCAAACTGATGTATAAAATTGAACCTATGGCCTCTTTCCTATTTTTTATTAAGACTGTTTATTCATGAGAGACACAGAGAGGCAGAGACATGGGCAGAGGGAGAAGCAGGCTCCCCATGGGGAGCCTGATGTGGGACTCAATCCCAGGACCCCGAGATCATGACAGATGCTCAACCACTGAGCCACTCAGGCTCCCCCTCTTTCCTATTTTTTTGGTTTGTTTTCCCTTTCCTATTTCTTTTTCTTTTTAATATTTTATTTATTTATTTATTCATGATAGACACAGAGAGAGAGAGAGAGGTAGAGACACAGGCAGAGGGAGAGGCAGGCCCCATGTAGGGAGCCCGATGTGAGACTCGATCCCAGGATTCCAGGATCATGCCCTGGGATGAAGGCAGGCACTTAAACCACTGAGCCACCCAGGCTGCCCCCCTTTCCTACTTCTAATATTACTTAAATATGTACTTTTTCCTCTTTCTTAATTATTAAAGATTAGAATTACCAAATTTTTGTCTATTTCATAGGTGTTTTTAAAAATCCATCTGGTAGGGGTGCCTGGGTAGTTCAGTCAGTTAACCATTTGATATGTGATTCGGCTCAGGTCATGATCTTGGGGGATCGAGCCCTGTGTTGGGTCTGCACTCAGTGGGGAGTCTGCTTGAGATTCTCCCTCTGCTGCTCTCTCTCAAATAAATAAATAAATCTTTAAAAAATCCATCTGGTATATCTTACTGGTTAGCTTTCTGGTATCTGTCCTTACCTCATTTTACTCCAGGTCCTGGTCTGCAGCCATCCCACTGTGCAATGCTGTTCATATTTTTTAAGGTGGAGCT